CGACTAATAAATATTTGCGCCAAAAAAAAAATATAATGAGTATACAATGGGTGTTACTCATTTCATAATAATTGATGAAAGTAATGCTCCCCTACCCACGGTAGGCACATGTTAATATGTTCACCGCTTATGTGGCATGCATACTTTGATGATGTTAATATGTTAAAAAAAATACATCACCAATGTGTGCATGCCACATAAGCGGTGGGTATATTAACATGTGTTCACCGTGAGTAGGGGAGCATTACGGTAATGAGTTTGATGATAGGTAAAAACAGAATGTAGATATGTATTAACATTATTTATAAAATTAATGTCAAATGTATATGTACAATTTGCATATCCAATATCATTACATGATTTCTTATTATTCTTGGAATGGTAGGTCTTATAGGGCCAACATAAACGAAATGTAGATATACTCTTTTTACAAATTATTTATATTTTTATTTACATATGTCGTATTTAAAAAAAATAAAAAAATAAAAAAATAACCCAAACAAAAGTATAACAACTGATAGTACAATTATGATTTTAATTTTCATAATATAATGGATCAACTGACCCTTCTAATGATTGATATTATTAATACAATTAGATATTTAATATCATTGTTCCATTCTTGGATTAATAATAATATTTTTAAACGGAAATGTTGTTGTTAGGCTGCCTAACCATTAGAAAGTCATATTTTTCTAACAAAAAAATTGTGTATTTATATTATAGTTCAAAATATGACTTAGATTATAGAAATATGATCATTTATTAGAAAATATATATATATATATATATAGTTTTCTCATAAATTCTATAGTTTAAGGCTATCTCCAATCGAATACTCCATAGTACCTATCTCATTTTCTAGTAATTCATCTCCAACCGAAAAACTTATTCTTCAACACAAAAGAATATTCTCGAAATATTCTCTTTTACCTCAACTTTTACAATTTTTCAATACTACCCATATATTTACAACTTTACAAATTAAATCACACTATTATTTTCAATTCAATTTGGACTTTATGTAATAAATCAATTATAAAGTTATAATCATATACATAATAAAATTAGAGAAATAAATAGTCATTAAAAATTAAAAATTAAAACACACAATATAATACTAAAAATTATAATGCACAAGATGATAAATTAAAATTACAACACACAAGATAAAATTAAAAATTACAACTCACAAGATGAGAAATTAAAAATTACAATACACAATATAAAATTAAATGATAAATATAATATTTATTATTTAATATATTATACTATCTAATTTTTATGAAATTATTTCTTTTACTTTTTTACATTATTATTGTGAAAAAATTAACATTAATATGTATAGTTACTCTATTATGAACAAATATAAAATAATTCCATATTAATTATTTCAAATATCATATCATATAGTTTTCATGAAATTAAAAAAAAAAAAGAAAAAAAATTGTATTCTTTAAACTTAATTTTCAATTTAAAAGATTGTTTATTTTTATTTCTATTTAAAAATTAAAGAAAACAAACAAAAAAACAAAATCAGTTTATATATTAAACAAACTTAAAGGACCAAAATGTAAAAAAAAGAAAAGAAAAAAAAAAGAACACATAATTTCCGTTCCGACACAAATATGTGTCAAATCTGAGGAGAGTGATCAGATCACAATTTGCGATCAGTTTTTGGCACCAATTGAAACTCCCCGTACTGCAAATTTTGTGTTTTGTAGTACGGTTGGGAAGGTCTAACAGAATATCTACATTTTTTATTGTCCTATTCATTCTTTTTAAGAATAACGTGTTTGATATTTCTCTTTGTTTTATTAGTTTGGAGTAATAGTTTTATGGAGATTTGGACTTTCATTCATTTAAACCACAAATTTCATTCTTTGGATAATGTATGTCTCATTTACATTATAATCTTGGGAGATGCTATGGTTCTGTTACGGAATCATTCAGTCGGGGTTTGTAATCATTGGATCAATTATTCGCAATGGTTACATGATGATCTAACGGTTACAAACCCCGACAAAATAATTGCGTAACGGGACCGTAACATTACCTATAATCTTACTTATAGCCGTTTTAATAGTACGCATACAAGAAGAAACTAGTACGTACCCCGTGCGATGCACGGGACAAAAATATTAAATGAGTTATTTTCACAGCCTTGTCCGTTTAAGTCTAAAAAGAAATAATGTTATTATCTATTTTCTACCTCTTTTAATCAACGTTATGTCTAAAAAATTATTAAGCCGCCCTCTGGCAAATATGTATGGAGTTATGTGTCCGTGTCTCATAAGTCACAAACATTATGAATAACATTACAACAAATTATTCATTCAAACTTTTATTCATTGCTAATATATTAAAATAGTTTATATAACAGCTATTAAATACCACTTTCAATATATTTAT